TCTCTCTCTCTCTCTCTCTGATAGATACCGAGAAGTCAGGCAGCGGGAGGGTGAGGAAGAGATGGCGGCCTTAGAGGAGGAAGAAGAACTCTCTCTCTCTCTCTCTCTCTCTCTCTCTCTCTCTCTCTCTCTCTCTCTCTCTCTCTCGTAGTCCGGTACTAACCAAGAAAGGTGGCTCTTGGCTGCAGGTATGTCGAAGACGAAGCTGGAGCTATGGCGCCGCAGATGAGTCTCCCTGGCCTCCGCCAACCATCTCTCTCCCTCTCTCTCTCTGTAAGCTCGTACTAGCGCCCAGCGCTGAAGACTAGTACTATCGCTACTCCTCCAGCGTGCCGCTGCCAGATCTTGAAGACTACCTCCTGCCTTCTACACGTGAAGTGCCTAGGAACTGCCTGCAGCCTGCAAGACAGGTCAGCATTATATAGTGCTAGCCCGTTCGAGAGGCTGCTCGTGCCTATGCCAAAACGTGCCTGACCCTGGGGTTTATGCTCCACAAAATAGGCCTTAAAGCTATGTTACCACGCGTTCATTGAACGCGCGTTTCGCGTTCAAGGTTTGAACGCGGTGAACGTGCGTTCAGTGAACGCGCCTGAACGCGTTTGACGCGTTTGCGCAGGGTGCTATGCAGGGGGGGGGGGGGCTGTGGGCAGTGTGGGGAGTGGCGGCGGTGCTTGGGAGGGGTTGTGGGCAGTGCGGGGAGCGGCGACACTGTTTTGGGGGGGGTCTGTCGGCCAATGCCCCAGACAAAGTGGAAGAAAAAAAACAAAAAAGTGTGTGAATGTGTGTGTGTGTATGTGTGTGTGAATGCTCCTTTTTTTTTTTCGAGGGGTGGTTGGGGAATCCCCCCAACATGGCTCAGACAGCCATTGCAGGCTTTCTGAAGGGTTGTCGCAACCATGTGGCACCGACCTCCTCACCAAATTCAAGGCAAGCAGTGAATGTGAGGGAGAGCAGGAGCTGGCCGAATATATACTTAACATTCGGATTCATGTATGTGTTTCAGCAGTTATGGGTTGCTCGTGTAGCTAGGCCTACACCTGATTCTCAGGGCTTGGCTGCACTACTCACCAAATGTGCAAAACTGGAATGAATCTTCTGCAGAACGTGGAATAATAAGCTGCCATATGTTTTGT